AAAATTTTAAATACTGGAAAAAAAAGTAATTTCAGCAATGGTCCTTCATATAGTGCCCTTACAGCCTTGTAAGAATTCATACTTTTGCCTTTTTAGCAATGCTGGCAGGTAATAGTAGAGATATCTTTTATCAACGATAGAAACTTTTAGCTGACAAATAGACTATAAATGGACTACTTTATGGTTGTACTTCTCTAATACACCATATTTAGAAAGCATTAGAAGATTACATAGTTGAAAAGAGAATGTTTCAAGAAGAGAGATAATAGCTAAGACTTTTTATGCAGTCACAATTAAGATAATGAGCAGCCATTAACATTTATTGCTTATAATGATAAAATAGTTCATTCCTTACTTCTCAGGCCCTCAAAGATTTACATGATTGAGAAAATCTGACACCATATCTAACTGGAGATTTTCCTTATTCCAATTTCTGCTGTGGAATCTAAGAAAGGCTTTAAAAAGGTGGAATCAAATATAGTGATTACTATCATGAGGCTAACTAAAGCAATAATTACATCAAAAGAAAGTAAAATTGGAAAGAGAACTTGGTAGTCTACTGCTTTCACTGCAAATTGGGTCTCCATTTCCTGGTTTTGTTAGTCAACGCTAACGTTATTTTTTCAGTGTTGCAAACTGTTTTCTTATGAAAAGGCTACATTTTCTGTGCAGATACCTCACCTTGTGCATTACTACTTTGTGAGGTGTGTTTTTCAACAAATCCTGGAAGCGTACATACACATAAACTTTCCTATTCTAGAATGTCACTGTGGAATGTCTGTGAGATTCACAGAGGAATTTTCAATGACTGAATTCACCACACACTTCCATTCTTAGCTGGGCTGTTCCTCATTGTAGAACAGTTCATTCGAGTGAATTTCTGTGCAGCTATTCCAACAGGCAGGCATTCAACTGATTTGAGCATATTCTCCTTGCACCTCTGTATCCTGGTTCTCCACACTTGCTGTGGCATGCCACAAAGAAATGTTTCCTCAGATCTAATTAAATCCTTTCAATAGTCTTGGAGGATTCTGCAAAGAGTAGTTTATTTGGTGGAGTATTTTTTAGGACAACGCTACGGAAGTAATCCTTCTGTACCATGTTTTCATTCTTAGGCATAACTAGGTGGGCAAGATATTTTATGACTCTCAGGCAGCTTTTTCCATATAACCATGAGGCTGATTCAAAACCCTCTGATTTTAATTATGGACACATTCCCAAAATAAAGAGGAATTAAAACCTTCATAGACTTTATTTTTATTCCATATTGTGATGAATTACTCAACTATGCATTGACTTTGTGAGTTATATGTTGGCTTTGACAACAACTTAGTGACTATATCAATAAAGTATTTATGATCCAAACTAAATATTAAGACTCCAAATTGATCCATTTTACTTACAAGCAATACTTGTATGCTTAATGTTAGGTATGCTTGAATACCTTGCTGGATATTCCCCTTCACCTCTGGGCAACTAAGGCAGAGACATAGCTCTCAGCTTTCACATTCCCTAATATGCAAGTAATGTTAAATATCTGTTAAACTGTTTAAAATACATTGTATTAAGTGTTATCCTGGATAAAAAATTGTTATAAGGCAGCAGATTTTTCTTCTTAATGGCTAAACAGGCTTTAACACTTTTGAGGGCAAGTTAAGCATGCACATTGTTACAAGTAATAAGATGAAAAAGTGGCTGTGTGTATCTGTCTGATACCTCACCACAAGTTCTCTGCCTTCCACTGTCAGGCCACTTATCTCTGACATCAAATGATGGTGGAAGACTGGCTCAGCAGAGGCATCAAACATTTGACTTGTACAACACACTAGATATCATCTATATCTACTTTGTGAAATTGCCTGAGCAGTCTTTCCCAACAAAGGTGGTCATGACAATTTCATAGAGAAGGAAATAGAACTAATCTATATAGACAGCTGCCTTTTGTACCTTTTTTTTCTCTATGCACTTTTCAGAGTACTTCAAGGATCCTGAGGTGTATTTGTAAATTTTACTCTGTTCTCCTGTCTCCTTCCCTATCTTTGCTCTCCCTCTCTTGCTTTCATCATTCTGTCCTGACTTCCTTATTTCCTGCAATTTTCATACAAGAATAACATCATGCACATATGCATATATGTTTAGATACCTCAGTGTTGTTTTAGAGACCAACTAGACCAATTAGAATTGTTAATAACCCATGACTCCATTTATCCATATTTTCATTTAAAGTTCCTGGGACTTGTGCAGGTAGATCATTAAGTGCCTAATTTGTGATTGCAGGTCATGAAGTATGGCCAGATTAAGTATTTGTAGTTTATTCGCAAAGAACTTCATAAAATTCTGTTTCAGTCTCACGAAGTCAAGCAGTTAAAATCAAAGAAAGTGTTTGTGAAGACTGAAGTGATTCTGTGAAAAATTCTCAAAGAGTGTAGATTTGTCCAACAAATGCCTTGGAATGATAACTATATCACAATAATGAAGTCCGCAATAATGTATGTGGAATTTCATGTGCTGAGATGATTGATCTGATCTGAAATAAAAGCTGTTCACTGACTAGTGAAACAGCACTGCCAATAGATCACATACAAATACCCAAAGAAGCCATTTAATTAACAAAGACAGAAAAATAAAAACAAAAAAAGAAAAAAAAAGAAAAAAAAGAAAAATAATAATTTACTGGAAATACTTTTATAGCAGAAGTTGAAGGAAAAAGAGGAAAATTAACGTTTGATATGCCAAATGTAAAATCAGTCAGTTCCTCAGTAAACTTCTTGCACATGAATAGCCAGTAGCAATTTATGTATACTGTGCAAGACTTCTGAGGGCCTCCTTCTACGTGGGCCCATGACAGGCAGACAGGCGAGGCTGGGAAGTACAGTCAATGGATCAGGAACAGCTTTAACCAATTTAGGGACATCTAAACCAAGTGGTAACAGCATGCCGAGTGCTTCTTGCAAACACACAATCCAACAAAACCCAGTGCCAAAATTCCATGGCATTCAAGATCAGCACAAAGCAAGCTCCAGAATACTGGCTATATTCCCTGACCTGGGTTCTCTTAGCATATCATACTAAACAGCAGTAGTTGCAGGAGCTGTTTTGGCATTACTCACGCTACCTGGCGCACTGTATACATGGTGATCTGTATGGGCATCTCAGAAAGCCATGTATGTTCAGGGGCATATAGCAAGACAGGGCATGAGCTCAACAGGGTGAGGACACATCCATCTCTAATGGTTGCTCCAAAAGAGTTACCGCTTTTGTCTTTCAGTTGCTAATTCCCTCTAATTTTTTCCTCTCCTTCACTTAGTTTTAATTCGGCTAGTGAAAGAGGAAAGGCAGAGCACTTTGGAAACATTTTGCTGGACATGGGGGATGCATAGCCCAGACTGACAATGACTGTACAAAACCTCTCAAAGCACTCAAACTCTCGAGGGAGTCATGTAAGGAATCAAAGGGGGAATTTCTCTGTATGTATAGCAGGTTTTGTGGGAAGATGTCCAAACTAGGAAGCATTAGTGAACTAAGGAAAATAAAAGAGACAGTGCAGAACCACTGGCAGGGGAACAAACTTCTACATTAGTAGTATTTCTGGAAGCTTAAAAAAAATATATATTCCAACTCTAAATTAATCTGAGACACACATGAGTCTATGAAGTAAAATGAGTTGAGACTATTGTAAAAACCAGATTTGTAATGTATAGCCATTATGTGCTAAGAAACTAAGTATTTAATATTTTATGTTAAATAAGTTAGTAAAAAAAAATTGTAGAACTAGGAAAATTGCAGAAAGCTGGGGTTTTTTTCAGTTTGAGGGGTTTTTGCTTCTGTCTGTGATTTTTCTTTTTGAAAGGAAGGAACGTTACAAATTATTCTTTACTATTTTAAAATATTCTCCAATTTTGTGAATTTTTTAAAGGCTACTGTTCTGAGTGATGTAAAGCAATTTTGGAAATACTGAGATGATTGTGAATTTTCCCAGCTGTACATTTACATCAGTTATATTTTCTCTTTAAAGACAAAATATGCACAGGTATACTAACAAAGTTACTTCTTTGCCCTCATTTTTGGTAAAAACAAAATAAAACTTCTGCGGAAATAGTGAGAGAGAAGTTAATGGGTTTTGACCAAGAACATGTGCCAATTTTCAACAACCTTATTTTTATGACAGCATAAGAAGCTCCTGAATGAGGAAATTTATAGTGGAAATGTTGGCAGGAATTTACTTAATGCTGTTTAAATGGTACCACTATGTTAAGAAATACACTGGATACTAGACAGCTTTCTGTGGAAAATGATAAACATACAAGGTCTCTGTAGGAGACCTCAGCAGAGCCATTTTTATTATCCGGAATAGTGGGTCTCTTTACTGTGGGGTTGTTTTTACGTGTGATATATGGAAATAGAGATGAAAATAACATTTGTTAGCTGTTAAAATTTTTATTTCAACACATTCTATAGTGTGTATTTACACAGTGCTTACTTAATTATTTTTTATTCCAATAACTGTGTCTCTCGTACAGCCTTTTTTATTTTATTTTCTCCCTTCTTTGAGAGTACAGATGTGATGCAAACTCTCAGAATTATACTGTTGATCACTTGCATGCTGAGCTGCATGCTGGTAATAGGAAGTGCCCTGAATTAAATCTTAGGAATTTAGACTGGTTCCTGGTGAAGAAGTAAACAAACAGCATGAAAATAACAGAGCAGGAGTTACACCTTCCCACCCTCTCCTTTCCAAACCAGACAGCATTTAAAGCCAGAATTTTGCACCTAGTCCATTCGATATTAATTTGCATTGTTTTGCCTTGTGAACAATAGTTAAGACGTTTTCCAGAATAGCAGCAGAAATTAGGTAGATATGTTATTTATAACTACAATTGTTAATATGATACCTAAGTATTATGTGCCTAGTTTTGTTTTCTGAATAAAAACTCTGTACTTCTGATGAACTGTAGACAATCTTTGGGTTTTTTATTTAATCTGCATATGCTTTCCTGCAGGGTGACATCCAGCAGCTGTTGATTATAGCTGACCCCAGAGCTGCATATGACTATTGTGAGCATTATAGCCCAGACTGTGATTCCCCAGTGCCCAATGCTGCTCAGGCTCAAGATCCTCAAGTTGATGAGGTGAGTAATCAGTCATGTATTACTAGATTTATTGCACTTTAGTGGTTGTACTGTGTATAAGTTACCCAAGGAGCATTTACAGCTAAATGGCATGCATTGTTCTAGATATGAGGGAGGAAGATTGCAGGAGTGCATTCATTTTTGCTATCCAATCATTTCTGTCAAGCATTTGAAGGAGCATATCACACTAGTATTTGAATAACCAGCATGCTCCATGAAGTTAAACTGTAATTCCTTAAAAAATGATAGCAATATGAGTTTGTTTAGTTGTACCTATTTGTTCTTCCTGTGTACATTTATGATTTCACTGATGCTGAGTACTATCAAATGCCACATTTGAAAGACATGGGAGCTGTAAGTATTCTGCAATTGTAAACTTCTTCAGCTAGAATTGTTATGTATTCTAATAACTCTGTCCAGTGTACAAATGCATGTACACACAAAATTATTTCAGCCAGCTCCACTCCTAGCAGGTAGATATCAACAGAGACAAAACAGAGTTGGAATTTTTCCCAGAAATAAAAAATGTTTACAGAAGCCATTTTTCACTGTAGACAGTTCTTACAGCCATAAACTGAGTAATTCACTGAGGGTAAGACAGTTCCTCAGATTAGACCTCTGAGGGTCAGCAGTTGTATGTATTGTTGTACACATTCTGAATACTTGCATCAAACAGTGGAAAGTGGAAAGCTTTTGCAAAACGTAACTAGTCTTAATTGAACTTGGCTCTGGACAGTTAGTATTCCCTCAACTCTGTGTGATCTGACTGGTTATTGTTACTGATTGCTCAAGAGATCACCATTAAAAACTTGCTGAATTGTTCTCAGATGCGTGCTTTGAGCCAATTTTGAGGCAGAACTTTTCCTAAATACATGATAATTTTATTTGTTGTTACTATTTATTCTATCTGATTGAAAATTTTGTCATCAAGTGACTAAGCTCCATAGGGCCCAGAACTTCGTTCAAAGGGACTCCCACATCCATTGCATCAGAGGTATGCTTCAGGATGTGTCGAGTCAATTACACATAGGCAGAGGCCTTTACCCTACATTACAGTGTATGGAGCCTGATCTCTCCATGAGGACCCTGTAGGACCTTCTGTCTGTGTGCCCAGCTACGTGCATCTCCAGGCACTATATTCCAAAAGAGAACAGGCTGAAAGCATATTGTTGATATTTTATGGGAAGAAAATAAAAGATAGCAAAATAAAATTAATTTTTTTCTCATTATTAAATTTCAAAGAAATTTGACATTTTGCTTGAGAACTTTCCTGGGCTTTGCTGCTATGTGACTTAGCACTCTGATTCTTTTTCTGTTATTTCCTGTGTGAAGACCTGGAAGGTTTGAATAGGCTAGTGCTTTTCTACTTTGAAATAAGTCTGAAGAGTATTCAATCTAATAAACTGATCTTTGTGGGAAAAAGTTGTTAAAATCATCCCTTGGTCTCTTTCTTAAAGAGGAATATATCTAAATACTTAAAATGCTCCAAGTTGGGAGTACTGTCTCCTCCAAAATCACATCAACTCCTAAGCAGGAGTTAACATGGCTTAGAGGGCTGCAAACATTTGCTTGCTCTGGACAGCACTGATGGCAATGATGGCTCCAATCCTTTGGTGTAATGCATGTGGACAAAGCTCGTAGTCCACAGAAATTAGTTGGGATCAGACTGTAGATTCAGAACCTATTCAAGATAAAGAAGAATGAATACTTGCACTCAGTTATTAGCAACAACTACTGGTGAATTATTAGAGTGTAATTCAATGTTTCTTAAGTATGTAGAATAAAAAAGCTCAGGGTTTACATTCCCTCCATAATGGATGACTAGCTAAATCTCTTGCTGTCAAATATTATGTTTATACTATATCAAAGCTGTTTAACACAAGCATCAGTTGAGAGCACTCATTTGTAGATCAAAAGAAAAATAAGCCACATCATAATTATAAAAACTATGTCCACATATATAGTTATATGCTCATCATATAGAATTCCCAGTTACATACTGCACATCTATTGAAAACAGTCTGTGGGCACCAAATAAAGAAAGACAACCATAAAATCTAACAATTGGCACTGTTCTTCTCCAGCATCCTGAGTGGAGATCATCTATAGCCTAATGCAACTGCCACTGGAGTCAGCAAATATCATTAAATTCAGCAGCCATTGCAAAAATGCTCTTGGGGTTAGTGGTTTTTTAATGTGTTTTTCTAGGGTCTATTTTTTTGCCCTGTGATAACACATATAGTTTGTGGGAGTACCTGCAGAGAAAAAAGTAAAATCAAAGATCTTAATTTGTAATGTAATGTAACATTTTAAAATGAATTTGAAAAAATTTGAAAAGAGCTAAAAGATTAAAATTGGAGAAGTGCCATTGCTGTTTGCTTCTATTTATTGTTTTAAGTGGTGATTGAATTATTTTGCTTTCTGAGCTAAAACACAATTTCCTCATTGCTATCCATGAGTTTATATGTGTAACTTTGTATGAATATTCCCAGTGAAGTCAATGGATCTCTTTAACATGTTGTGTAATAGTAATCTGAAATAATCACATCAGCCATGCTACCAATGTGATGAATATGCAATAGAATAAATGATTGGCTGAATTGCCCAGAATTATAGAATTGTCTGGTAAATGATAAAAAAGCAGGTTGTTAAAGCAGGCTACTTTGTTATCTTTTGAGATGCAGCCTGTCAAATCACATAGGTAATTCATCTTAAGGAAATAAATGAAACAAGTCTTACTTAAGTACTGGAAGAAGTTATAAAAGATAGCAATGCTGATTTTTTTAAACTGTTGATTGCAAAATTAAATAAGGTGTTAAAAGATAAAAATACAATTACAGCCAGTCTATATGGAAAACAATTACTTCAGAATGCCTGATTGTGTGTTTTGAGATTACAAGTTTGATAGTGATATCTGATAGAATTTATAGACTTAGACCTTTGTAAAGCTTCTGATATGTCAACATAAGATATTTGAATGAAAAAAAAGGCATTGTTAGGTAAAGATAAATTACCTGACAAGCAGATTCAAATCTGGCTGCCTTATTTCAGAAATTACTATAAATAGAGAGCTATTGCTGAATTAACTTTTTAGTAGAGTTTCTTAGGAATTGTGCTAGCAATATAGAAATGAGTGTAAAATGGATGCTATTAAAATTTGTCAGAGTCATGATATTGCAGAGCAGTAAACGATGATAACACAACTAAAGACAATGTTATGCACATACAAGAAAAAGAGATGCAGGGCAAACATACAGAACTAGGAAATATACACTGCAATACAGCCTGCTTGCTTGTGTTAACAAAAGAACCTGTCCCCATTTGTGGGCTTCATCTGCTGCTATATCAGTGAAAGCAATTTGGAGGTACGTGATTTACCAGACTGAAATATTAATCAAACTGAAAGCCAACATGAAAAGATTACTGTTTAGCTTGATTGATTTCCAGGTTTGATCTCCCATGTTTTCACACAAACTCTTGTAATAGAAAGAGGGAAGAGAGAACACTGGGCTAAAGGCTAGGCAGGATTGTTTCTTTCAGTGTCAGCTTTGGCTTAAGCCAGCAGAAGCTGGATATTTGTTGGACAGTAGCCTCAAAAGATTCTGGTTATTAAAATAGGGAAACAGTTTGTACATGAGCACTCAAAGCAAAACTGGCAAAAAAATGCAGTGCATGTCTTGGTTTGTAAACAAAGGAATAAGAATACAGATGTGATATTGCTTGTCTGTATGCTGCTGGTTGAAACATATACTGGAACATCACATATGGTCTTGGTGTTTAGTCATTAAGACAAATATTGTAAAAATGGAAATGATTCAAATAAAAGCTACATAATTGTTGTGACTTTGGGAACTGGGAAACTTAATGTGTTTGACTTGTCCACAATAATGACAAAAGCTTGAAATTTTGCTCAGCATATGCAAAGAACCTTCACAAAAAGAAAATGCTGGCTGCAGACGAATGGAGGGTGGGGAGAAAAGAAAGTAAGATAACTTCAGTTAGGAAAAGATCTACTAAAATTTTTAGGAATGAAACGAGTTACCAAAATGGTGTATCTCTAGATATCTTCAAGCCAAGGATAGATACCTTTCTAAAAGTTTGGGGAAATATCATTTATACTTTAGTAGGCTCAGTTACAGGGTGACTGTAAGAAGTTTTGAAGTCTGAAAGTATACAAGAGTTAGTCAAGGTGATCTAATAGTCCCTTCTGGCTTTACATCTCTGAGCCTTTGAATTATTGCAGACCAGCATAAGAAACTGATACCTGGCTTAGAGGAAAGAGACAAGTTATGTGATTGCAGAGCCTATTAGTGTGTGTTTCCAGCATTGACTACAAAACCCAAAGGAAGTGGTTGACTTTTGTCAGTGAAATAGTAAATTATGTTTGTGGAGTTACACCTAGGAAGCTGAATAGTATTTCTTTTGATATCACACACTTTTGTAGTCTCCTGGCAAGTTCACAGCCTGGGAATGGAGTTATTCTGAAAAGTTGGATGATTTTTAGACCACTAAAGAAACATCTAAAGAGAAATATTTGGCTAAGATGATGTAGGTTTAAAGGCAAAAGTACTTTGTTTAACTAAGTGTAATCTTCATTGCTCTAGACAGTTTCCTTCTGCAAAGGAGCAAACAATCAAATACCCAACATTGTAGTTTTGGGGGCATTTCTTTCAACAGCACTGCTGGCTTAAATGAGTCCTTTCCTTTTCTGTACTCATTTCCACCCAATGCCATCTTTCCAGTTCAGCTGGTAGCATTGTTTATGTTTGTTGGGGGCAAGGTCTGTGTCCTGGTTTTGCCTGGGATAGAGTTAATTTTCTTTCTAGTAGCTAGTATAGTGCTATGTTTTGGATTCAGTATGAGAAGAATGTTGATTACACACTAATGTTTTCAGTTGTTGCTAAGTAGTGTTTAGTCTAAAGTTAATTTTTTCAGCTTCTCATGCCCAGCCAGCGAGAAAGCTGGAGGGGCACAAGAAGGTGGCACAGGACAGAGCCAGG